ACTATCTAAACACTTGATGCCAGGAATGTAGAGAGTCCAAGGTGCTGGGAGTTACAGTTGCCAGCAAATTCAGATGAGCAGATTGCCCAGCACTGTGCTCTGTGTTGTCCAAACCCCCTCCCAGAGCCTGAAAAGAAGCTGTGTCTGGTGTATGTTTCCACAGGGGCCCAAAGGTCACAGTCCCTGGACTGGTGTCTCGCAGTTCCTGCAGACATCCCAGAAGATCATCCAGTTTGCATCAGGGAAGGAGCCTCAGCCAGGAGACACCATCATCTACGTGGCTGGAGCCTTCGACCTGTTCCGTATCCTTGACTCTCTAGGGCTGCACCCCTGCTCTTTGTCTGATGTTCTCATGTTGGGAGGCACCACACTGCATATTTGCCTCGTTCTTTTTCCTTTTCTGTAGCTGCACGTGAGGGAGGAGTCAGGAGCGAGTTCTTCCTGGCGGTGTCTTAGTCACGGGATGCTGAGAAAGAGGCTGTAGCTCCTGTGTGGAGCAATCTGTGGCTTTCAGGAAGTGGTAGATGGGTACTCTCAGCACTCCAATGATGTGGTGCAGACTGGCTGCCACAGCACCTGGAGTGGACACGCTGTTCCTGGGGCAGGCTTTGAGGCTTTGTGCCAGAACATCTGGGACAAGCAGAAATTCTGGAGAGAGGCAAAGCTGAGTCCATGTAAGGTGGAGCTGAAAAAGTCTCTGGCTTTTGCCCAGAACCAGTGGAACCTGAGGAGGCAGGCAGCAGCTGTTCTTGGAAATAGGCAATAAGTACTGCAAGAATAAAATTCTAGGGATTCCTGTTTCCCACTGTCATTTTTGTGTGACTCTATTTCTGCCTTCCTTCCTCTATTTTCCACGTGAGCTTCAATTCCTTAAACAGATCTGCAGATGTTGGCCATGTGGATTTCCTGGAGAAGGTTCACCAGTTGGCAGAGAAGCCCTACATCATTGCTGGGCTGCATTTTGATCAGGTCTGTGTAGAACCTGTCCCAGGGCAGAGCAGCTGGGGCCTGTTCCCTGAACCAGGCAGGCTGTGCTCCCAGAGACAGGACAGGGATGTCATTGTGGGAGAGAGGGGAGGGAAGGGAGTTGCTCTGTCTCCCTCTGACTTGCCTGGTGCTTTGCCCTAGGAGGTGAATCGTTACAAAGGGAAGAACTATCCCATCATGAACATCCACGAGAGAACCCTCAGCGTCCTGGCCTGCAGGGTGAGTGGTGTCTCTGCACTCTGAACTGCCCAGAGCCTGCTGGTGGTCACCTGTGCTCAGGGACCTGGCACGAGCTCCTTGGTGTGCCCTGAGAAGACAGACAAGATCACTTGAGGCTGCCAGAGGTGCAGATCCTCTTGGGAGGCTCTGCTGGGCTCTTGTGCCATCCTGGCTGATCCAAGCTGTGCCCCATCCAGCTGCTCTGCTGGCAGTGGCAGGGCTGGATGCCACAGAGGGAGCTGTGTGGTCAGACAGGTGCCACTAGAAAACTAGAGAAAGCAGCAGGGGAGAAAATGCCTGGGACAAAATCGTGGGGAGCCCCAGAAATGTGTGCCTGGAGCAATTAACTTTTGGATTTGCTCTATAGGCACAGAAAGGACATTCTGTAGAGGAACAAAAAGCTGTTGTGTGACAAGCAGTTAGTGCTGAACCCACTTCTCTGTTCCCTATTTGAACTTCTGACTGTAGCCAGGTGACCTGCTCGGGTCTCTTTAAGAAGCAGCTGGCTTCTGGCTTGGGATTGGGTTTTGGGTTTTTGTTTGATGGGTTTTTTCCCAAATCTGGACTCTACCTGGTTCCTTTTTCAGTATGTCTCAGAGGTGGTGATTGGAGCTCCCTACGCTGTCACTGCTGATCTGTTGGATCACTTCAGGGTGAGTCCTCGCACACGGATGGACATGGAGATGTGTGGGGAGCTGAAGTGTGCAGGACAGCACAGGGGAGCAAGGAGGGACTGCCAGGCTCTACAGGAGGGTGGCCTTGCTGGTCTCCAGGCTGTGCTCAGTGGGAGTAGTGGCAGGAAATGTCCCTGTCATCTTCTGGATCTTGTCAGTGACTTTTGTGTCCTCCTTCAGGTAACGCTTGTTTGTCATGGGATGACTGAGGTGGTGCCAGACAAGGACGGTTCTGATCCATATGAGGTAAAGTGCCACTTGCTTTGTCAGCATTTGATAGCCAGAGCCTGGCTCTGGTTGTGTTCCTGGACTGAGAAGGTACTGCAGAGGAGGCTTTTGCAGCTTTTCATCCACGCCTGAGGGCAGCTTCGTGGAGCAGTCAGTAAATCATTCCCAGCAGCTCCCCTCTCCCAAGCACTGCTTTGCTCTGCCTGTTCCTGATACCTTCATGGTAGAGGGAGAAATCCTGTGTGCTCTGCTCTCTGTGCTGGGCAGCTCCTGTGTATGTGGAGCTTTGCTTTCAGCGAGTGTTTGCTGTGCCTCTGAGATCACTGTGCATCCTGCCTGTCGCCCTGCCACGGCCCAGCTCAGCTGAGCTGCACACCCAGGCCCCACATCTTTTCACAGCCCTGTCTGTGTCTGTTTGCAGGAACCAAAGCAACGTGGCATTTTCCAGCTGGTGGACAGTGGCAGCAATCTCACCACAGATCTAATTGTGCAAAGAATCATCAAGAACAGGTTGGATTTCCTTGTCTCCTGGTTTTGTCACGTCCTGTTCCCTCCAGAGTGTCTGGGGACTGATGGATGGGACCAAACAGGGAGAGAAGGTGTTGTCTGAAGGCACAGAGCAGCAAACTTGGCTTCCTCTTTCATGGCTTGGGCAGGCTGTAATGTGATTGCACAATCAATCTGTACAGGGAAGGGAACAGCTGAACTCTGCTGTGTCAGAATGTGCTGTACTGCACATTTATTAGTTTTCTCCTTTAATGATAAATTTCCTTTGCTGTATCCCAGGGGAAAGGGCATGTTGCTTCTTCCAGAGCTTTGGTCTTTTTAGGCCTGAGTCCTTCTTTCAGCACCTTGGCTCACATCAGTGATAAATTTGATTTTGGTGTTACATCACCCAGGACAGCCCAAGAGTGGAATAGCAGCTTCTTCCACAGAGGGAGAAGGACGTCTGTGTGACCAGTGTGGGAGTGCAGGACTGCAGAGGGCTGGCAGCAGCCTTGGGAAGCTCTGGGAGAGGCTCTGGGGGTCCTGGGGGGTTTCTGAAGTGCTCTCAGAACTGAGCAGCACAGAAGGCAATGCTCCCCTGATCCAGGTGCTTTTGTCTACAAGCAGCGTGGGTGAAGGAGAATCTTAGGGCAGTGTGTGGTATTTGCAGGCTGGAGTTTGAAGCTCGCAACCAGAAGAAAGAAGCCAAAGAGCTGGCTGTGCTGGAGGCCATGAGAAGGCTGGAGCAGGAGAAGCACTAAGCTGCAGAGTGGGCACGTGTGAGCCACAGAGAGCTGCAGCTTCACCCTCTGGGAGAGCAGCTGCTCTGCAGGAAAGGAGCCCTGAAGGGGGGCAGCCCTGCTGGCACGCAGGATGTGCTGTCCTAGCTCCTCCTGCACTAATTATGCAGACATAACGAGTTGGGATTCCGTTGCCTAGTTTTATCTCCGTTAATCAGTCCCTGACCCTTTTCCCAGGAGGAGATTTGACAAAACAAAAAGGTTTTAATTATAACTAATGTTTTAACATGTTGATGTGCTTTTACCTTCTGCCATTTCTGGCTCTTAGTAGGAGGGAAGTGGAGGAGCTGCCCGTGCCCCCTGCCCTGCCAGCCTGGGCTGTCCTACCTGGGCTCAGCATTGCAGAGCAGCCCCTGGGCAGGGCTTGGGTGGCTGCACAGGCACTGAGAGCAGCCTGGGGCCAGGACAGAGCTCCTGGGCTTCCTCCTGCAGCTCTGGCTCAGGAACCAGGGGCTGCCTGCCAGAGGAGATGCTGGGGTTCACTGTGCCGCCTCTGCTCAGCTCCTGCCCCTGCCCACACCCAGAGATGCCCTGGGCAACTCCTTTGCTGCAGGTGCAGCTGCTGAGGGGGCAGCTGGAGCTGGGTCCAGGCATTTCTCCCGAGGCACAGGGATCCTGGGCCTTTCCCCAAAGGCTCTCCCTGCAAGGCAGCAGGACCCAGTGCCTCGTGTGCACAGTGCTCAGGGCCCCCCTTGTGCTGATGGATTACCTGAGGGCAGGGCCTGGCCAGGTGAAGGTTTGGGGGTGTTTTCTGATGGCTGACATGCAGCATGCTGCCTCCAAGGGGAGGTGCAGGCTGCGAGATGGGTCCTGAGCTGTGAGCCCCTTCTGCCTCTTACATTCCAGGATCCTGGGGTGGGTATCCTGAGCAGCTCACTGCACTGTGCCAGATGGTCCTGCCAGGCTGTGTCTGGTGTCCTCTCTCTTGTAAACTTTTGTTGCTGATCATTAATAAAATGTTGAAGAGTTGTGCATTGGTGTTTTTGGGGCTGGAGCCCAGGTAGCAGAAGGGGGCACAGGGCACACGTGCCCTGGTCTTGAGAGGGAGCCCCACACTCCCTGAGGCTCCATGGCACAGGGGCTGCTCAGCCCCAGGGCAGCCACCACTCACCCTGCTGGCCCTTCCTGGGCTCTGCCTGGCACAGCAGGGCAGGTCCGTGTGTGTCAGAGCTGCAGCCAGGGGCACTGGTGGGACTGGGGACACTCCTTGGCTTTGTTCCTAACAAGCACGGTACCCACATGGGCCAGGCAGGGCTGGCACCAGCAGTGGGATGGGCACTGCAGCCAGGCTGGTGCTGTGCTCTGGACTCACCCTGTGAGCAGGGGGTGACCCAGGGCTGCCCCTGCCAGGGAACAGCTGCCACCCCACTGCCCCAGTCTGTGTCCTGCGCCAGAGCTGCCCCAGGGCCAGGCAGAGGCTGTGCCAGGCCCCCTGCAGCACGAGGGGGAGCAGGACCTTTGGGGGCACACAAGACAGGAGCCCCTTATCCCTGCTGGCCCTGCCCTGTGCCCTGCAGCTCCACAGGAGGGGCTGGAGGGCTCAGCAGCCCCGAGCTCCCAGGTCTGGGTGGGCTCCCCCCTCTCCAACAAGGACAGACAAGACAGAGCCATCCCGAGCACGTTTATTGTCACCCCAGGGCCCCCGGCCTTGCTCAGGCCCCGCACACTCCCCGGGGTACCGGGGCAGTCAGGCCCCGGGGCGACCCCGGTCCTCACTGCAGAGCCCGGGGGAGCGGGCCGGGCTGGGCAGAGCCGCCGGTGTCGGAGCTGGTGAGCGGCACGGGCCGGAGAGCGGCGCCGAGGTCCTGCCCAGGGGCAGCGGCGGGGCCGGGCCGTCCGCAGGAACGGGGCTCGGCGGGGCGGCACAGGGCGAGCAGCGCCCGCGCGGGGGTCCCGCCCCGCTCTGCTTCCCGGGGCGGCGGAGTCACTGCCCGGCCCCGCTCCGAGCACCGACCCGAGCGCGGGACACCGGACACAGACACGGACACGGACTGGCGTCGCACGTTTATTGGCCGGGCCGGGCGGGTCACGGCCGTGCCCGGTGCCCGGTGCCGCCGTCACTCGCGGAACTTCCACTCCTGGCGGCACATGGGGCAGTGCTGCTGCACCTGCTGCGAGTTCAGCCACTTGAGGATGCAGTGCATGTGGAAGCAGTGCGAACACTGCCCCCACACCAACGGGCAGTCGTCTCCGGGAACCTTACCTGCGGCACGGACACACCGTCAGCCCCGCCCGGCGCGCAGCGCCCGGTGCCGGTGCCGGTACCGCACTCACAGTCGGGGCAGCAGCCGTTGAACGCCATCCGGCAGATGCCGCAGTTCTCGTCGTTGGCCACCCACAGCCAGGACGCGACTCCGTGCCAGCTCCGAACGCGCACCCGCATGTCCCGGTCCTGATCCCGGTCCCGGTACCGCCGGAAGTGCCGTCCGCCCCACAGAGCTTCGCGCGCCCGCCGCTCCGCAGCCCCGCCCTTTCCGCTTCCGGCGCGGGCGCAGCGCGGCCGGAAGTGCGGGCGGGAGCGGTGCCGCCATCATGGCCGACAAGATGGACATGTCCCTGGACGACATCATTAAGCTCAACCGGAGCCAGCGCGGGGCCAGCCGGGGCGGCCGGGGCGGCCGGGGCCGGGGCGGCACCGCACGCGGGGGCGGGCCCGGCCGGGGCGGCGTTGGCGGCGGGCGCGCGGGCGGCGGCCCCGTGCGGAACCGGCCGGTGATGGCCCGAGGCGGCGGCAGGAACCGGCCCGCGCCCTACAGCCGGGTACGGACCGGGCGGGCGGGGCTTGGGCCGCGGCGGCGCGGCGGGCTGGGGCGGCGAGCCCGCGCGGGGCGGGGACGCGGGCGGCCCTTTGTCCGGTCCCGGCGCGGCCGCGGGCGGCGGGGCCCTGGCGCCGGTCAGCGAGCTCCGGTCTCGTTGCAGCCGAAGCAGCTCCCGGAGAAGTGGCAGCACGACCTGTTCGACAGCGGCTTCGGGGCGGGGGCCGGCGTGGAGACCGGCGGAAAGCTGCTCGTCTCCAACCTGGACTTCGGCGTCTCGGATGCGGACATCCAGGTGCGGCTCGGGGAGAGGGAGCGGGGCCCCGTTCATCGGCCGGGCCGGTGCCCGCGGGACCCCCGCCGGCCCTGCTCCGCCTGGCACCGGGGCCGAGCATTCCCGGCTGAACGAATCCCTGGTGATGGGGTTGGCACTACGTGTGCCTGCTTTGGTGGTCTCCATGGGGCCGGGAAATTCGGTTTATAGGTGCTCTGTAAGGGACTGCCCGGTGCACGGAGCAATGCCGTGACTCTGCTGGGTCACGCTGTGATGGGAGGATGCAGTGTGACTCTCTGAGCCCCTGCTCTGTGTAGCTGTAGCTGTCCCTAATGGTGCTGTGGGCTCTGCTGCTTTGCCAAGCCCCACTCTGGTGGGTGTCAGGGGGTTCCCAAGGATACACCCCTCAGTGCAGCCAGGTCGTTATTTGTCACAGCTGCACTGGTGCCGTGGTGTCCTGTGCTCCACCTGTCATGGCCGTGCCCCTTTGGGCTGGTCAGAGCCCACAGGGGCTGCAGTTGGGTGCATTGGCCTCGGGGCTGGAGGCTGAGGGGTGTCCCAGGCTCAGGAGTGGGCTGTGAGCTCTGCAGGAATTGAATGCCACAGAGGGTTGCCATCACCCTGGCCTCTGGCTCTCGTGGCCTCTCCAGGGAGAACCAAACCACTGCTGCCAGACTTTCCTCATCAGTTCATTCATTCATTCAGCCTCTCCACACAGCCATCTGGCTGCGTGTGGGGAACTGGAAAGGAGCTCTGTCACTCACTGGGTAGTATACTGCCCTCCTGTAAGTTCAGACTGGATTTAAATAAGTTCCTGTTTGTTGCAGTGAGGCAGCAGTGTGTAAAACTCAGCCCCTGTGCCTTGTGTGCAGCAAGGACTCACCTTCCTGCTGCTGCACAAGCTCCCACTGGGGTTTGTTTAGCAGCAGGGCTGACAGTGGCTTTGGCCCCCAGCCCCATAATTTAGCATTGCCTCAGATGTGGTTTTGTTCCTGTGTCAGTGCCTCTTTCTGTGGTGTGAGAGGCTGGAGGTGCTCTGGTTGCTCTTGGCGTCCCCTGAGGCAGCAGCAGCTGACCCCGGGCTCTGGGCAGAGCTGACACAGCCTTGCCTGCCACATTCTGCCCAGAAAGCATCTGCCAGCTGCCCTTTGCAGCTGTCCTCCAGCAACCCTGCTGAGAGCCCTGCTGTGCCTCGGGAGCAGGCTGACACAGGCAGTGCAGTAACCTTGTTGGCTTCCCAAATGTGGTGCCTGAGAAACAAAACTGGGGGCTCTGTTGCTGCCTCTTTATTTCCAGCCTTTGTGGCAGCACAGGACAGAGCTCAGCACAGGCCTTGGCTGGTCTCCATTTCTGGGGTATGTTCCTAACAGCACAGTAGAAGTGCTGTGGTCTCGTGGATCCCTGCCCTCACATGAACATTCTCCTCTGAGAAAGGTGTCTGGGGTCTGGAGTGTTTTCAATTGTTGCTGCTTTGACTCATCTTCAACAAAGACCCCCAGTTCCCCTGGGAAAAAACCAAACAGGTCAGCATCCCTTGAATCTGCTTCCCTGGCTGTGAATGTGCCTCCTGCAGGACACGAGCGTGGAGTCCTGCTTGCTTTTGCCACTTGTGACCATGCCTGGACTCTTGCTGACGGGCTGTGCTGTGCCTCTGGGAGCTTTTCCAGGCTGTCTGAGGTGGTTGGACGAGCCCTGACCCCGAGTGTGGGGCACTGCAGCGTTTGCAGCACTGATGGACGGGCGTGCTCCTTTCCCTCTCGTTCCAGGAGCTCTTTGCAGAGTTTGGGACCTTGAAGAAGGCAGCTGTGCACTATGACAGGTCTGGCCGCAGCCTAGGAACGGCAGACGTGCATTTTGAGAGGAAGGCTGATGCACTGAAGGCCATGAAGCAGTACAACGGGGTGCCCTTGGATGGTGAGGCTGCCTGGCCTGGCCCCACAGCTCCTGTGGCTGGGGCAGAGCCTGGCATGTCCCTGTCCCTGCCCTCGTGTCCCTCCTGCACGTCCCTGTCCCTCCCCTCGTGCCCATTTCCCCCTCACCCCCGTGTCCCTGCTGCCCTGTCCCTGCCCTCGTGTCCCCCCTGCCCGTCCCTGTGCCCCTGCCCTGTGTGTGTGTGTGTCCCACACGGGCTCACAGCTGCTCTCCTGTCCCTGCTGCTCTCCCTGCAGGGCGCCCCATGAACATCCAGCTGGTCACGTCACAGATCGACACGCAGCGGAGACCAGCACAGAGGTGGGGGAGCCCTGCCCGAGCAGGGGGTGGGAAGGGCAGGAGCCCTCCCTGCTGGGGAGCCTGGCTCCTGTTCAGCTTCACTGGAGGCACTAAAACTGTTGCTTTTCAAACTTGCAGTGTAAACAGAGGTGGCATGACCAGGAACCGCGGGGTCTTGGGGGGATTTGGAGGTGGAGGCAACAGGCGAGGGACTCGTGGCGGGAACAGAGGGAGAGGCAGAGGAGCTGGAAGAACTTCCAAACAGCAGCTCTCTGCAGAAGAACTAGATGCACAGCTGGATGCTTACAATGCCAGGGTAAGTGCTGCTTGGGCACGGTAATGGGCTCCCCACAGCATCTCATCCTGGAAAGCACTGGCACTCTGGAGCTGGCAGGAAAGGGAAAGCATTCTCCAGGGCCTTGGACGGAGGCAGTCCCGCTCTGAAGCTGAGCTGTGCCTTGGCTTGGGCCTGAGCTTTGCTTTCCAGAGCAGTTTGTCTCTGTTCCTGATGGCTGAGGAACAGGCTCTGCTCCTGCCAGGCTCCAGAGCTGGAACAGCCACTATGAGCAGCAGCTGCAGAACAAAACTCACAGAGCTGATGGGATGCAGGAATGGGAAAACCAAGGAAAATCTCATGTGGAGGAACTGTGTGGTGTGCTGCTGGGGAAGGGTGTTGCGCTGGTGGCAGAAATGAGCCCCAGCCTGGGGAGCCACGAGCAGGTGGCAGCTGTAGCTGGAACTTGCTCAGCCTGTGCCAGGATCCCAGCAAAGCTGAGGCCACAAGGACTCCACGGCAGCAGAGTGGGTGTTCAGGATGGGATAGGTCAGGCAAGAGCATGGAAGGAGTGGGATGAGCAGGATTCCAGGCACAGCCTTGGAGCAGTGTGGGGTGCGGCGTGCTGTGCCTTGGACCCAGCTGTCCCTGTCCCCCCCACACTTGGGAGATCAGCAGAGCCAGGCTGCCTGCAGAGGGGGTGGGCTGGGGTGAGGGGGTGCCAGGGCTGTGCCAGGGCCGTGGTGACATTGCTCCCTCTCTTGCAGATGGACACCAGCTAAAGCGGCAGCAGTGGGCCAGGGAAGGACTCCAATCTTGCTCCACACTCCCGGCAGGGGCTGCGGCTGTGGCTACTACTACCGAGGATGGGATTTGTTTTACTTTTATGTTCTGGGATAGGTTTTAACTCCTGTAAAGGTTTTTTTTAATTCTCAGCAGACCTGTTTTGTACCGAGTTATTTTTGGGATAAATTTTTCTGGTTGCCTGTTGGGCCAAGGTGGCTTTTTCACCTTTGCCGTAATAAAATAGAACCATGTCTAGAGCTGTGGCTGCTGCCTTGCCGCGCTGGGCCCTGCCCCCGTTCCGCTCCCTCACGTACCGTCATGCTCCGTGTCCCGGTCCCGGTCCCGCTCCCGGTCTCGTCCTACCCCGCTGGTCCCGTTCTTGCTCCCGGGCCGCTCTCCGGGTTCCGATCCTCGTGTGCCCCGCCCTGCCGGTCCCGCCCCGCCCCGCCCCGGTCCCCCCGCCCCGCCCCGCCCGCGCGCGCGTCCCCCGGGCCAATCAGCGCGCGGCTCGCGGCCGGAAGCGCGGCGGCGGCGCGGCAGCGAGTAACGGGAAGTGCCGGGCGTGTCCCGGAAGTGCGGGGGCGCGCGGGGCCTGGGCGGATCCGCGGCGTTGGCAGCGGAGCGCGGAGCGAGCGAGCCCGGTACGGCGGGAGCGGCGGGCGGGGGTGCGGCACGGCGGCCAGGGCCGGGCCGCGGGAAGGGCCGGGCGCGGCCGAGGGGCGGGCGCGGGGCCCCGGGTGCCCTTGCGCGACCTTCCGAAGGCCGGGGGAGCCGCCGCCCCCGGTGGGGCCGTCCCGGAGCGGAGCGCGTGCGGCGAGGGCGGGGCGCGGCGGCCCGGGCGGCCCGGGCTCCCCGGAGGGGCTGGGGCGGTGCCCGGGGGGCCGTGCCCGGTGCCCGGGGGGCCGTGCCCGGTACCCGGTGCCCGGCGGGCCGTGCCCGGGTTCGCTCCGAGGGGCGGTGCACGGGATCGCCCGGCCCGACGCGTCCGGGGGTCGGCCGTGCCTCCGGCACGTACGGGCTGTCCATAAATGGCCGCTGGGCACGGAATGAGGAACTGGGAGCCGGTACCGGGGTTGGGCTGCTCCGTTCAAGGCAGGCCCTTCCACCGCCACCGCCGCGGGCCGGATGCGCCTCCAGCCCCGGCGCGGTTCACACGGG